TACACCACCTTAAAGCCTTAAACTCCACCACACCACCAACTGCTGCACCTCATTCATCACACAAACCACTACCCCAACGCCACCTGCCCTAAACCCACGCCACTAGCCCCTTACCCAGATCCACCCACTTAAAACCATCACCGAAACCCACCCTAACCCTAATTAAACCCGAACTCACGCCACCCGTCCCAGCCCTGATACACCACGCCACCAACTCCTTTACCCATGCAACCAGCCCCAGCCTCGATACGCCACACCACCACCACTATTCACCTAATCCACAAACAAACCCAAATCCAACCAAATCGTAAAAAAAAAAAATTAAATCAAACAAATACCTTAAAAAGTTAACAGTGGTTCGAATTTCACTTCATATATGGCTAAAAAAACTAAATTTGACCATGAAAACTCTAGAACTTGGCCTTAAAAACCTTGAACTTGTCTCCCGGTGACAGTGTCACCAAACCACCACTACCCACCTAGTGAAACCACCACCACTACACACCCAGCTAAACCACCACCACCAATATAATGAATGAACCATGAAGACGAAGACGACTATCAACGAGGGTTGCGGAGTTTGTGTTCTTTGAGAAAATGAGATGAATGATCTAGTGTGGGCTTGGAGAAGAAAAAAAGAGGAGAGAGTGAAATTTTTTTTTTTATTTAAAAAAAAAAATGTTGCAAGCATAGTTTGATAAATCTTGGGATTGGTATCTAATTCATAAGAATAAATCTTATTATCTATCATATTTTTTGTAAGACCCTGTAGAAACTATCTTGTTCAATTGTTTATTTTCGAAATTAATTGTAACACTTATTATTATAACAAGGTCTCAAAAGTATTTAATTACATCACTTTCATCTCCTAAGGTTCCAATAGTATTTTTATTTTTATTTTTTTTTTAGTGCACAGGTTCCAAATTATTTAATTGTATCACTTCCGTCTCATGATCCCTAAGTTGTGAAGATTTTTCCTAAAATAAAATTGAGCCACTTCCGATCCCCACTTTTACGTTATAATACAAATTTTCGATCATTTTCTTACACATTAATAGTGCTAAATTAAACTACAGACTTTTGTCAAAAAAATAAAAATAAAAATAACAAGCATTGTTTACCAAAGGAATGGTAGTACATTTTTGTTGCACTTGATTTGTGGATTTTATGGATCGCAAATAATTTTATTTATGATACTAATTGGACGTTGGTATAGTGGTGATTAAGACTACACTCGATAGGGAGGATCTGAGTTTGATCCCCGCAACAACAAGTGGGAGGGGATTGAAACCTAACCACCCAAAACTGATCCCCGAATCCGGATTAGCCTAAAGGGAACCGGGTGGAAAACCAAAAAAAAAAAACAATTGTATTTATGATATATCTAATTTGATATCAATAAATAACAAAAATTATAATAAAGAGCCCATGTTTATCAACTCACAAAAATAAAAATTGCCAAGTAAAGATTTTGTCACAAGTGGTACATGTCTAAACAACTTACAAGTGCATAACAAGATGCTCTACATTCTCCCCACATGTAAGTATGCTTACAACTGAAAGTTAATTTGGAATTAATTAATAATAATTCTCTTTTGGGCTAGACATATAGTGATAATGTATAAAACATATTCCTGAGTCTCAACCATCATCTTAAGCTTTTGGTTGAATTGGTACTCTAATATGGTATCGGAGCCGGCGTGACACAAAGGTCACGGGTTCGAATCTTATTCGTCCCTCCTTCAAAGTGGAATTAATTCGCACCAAATATGGGTGGGTCTGTGTTGCATCCACACTTTTAGTTGAATTGGTCTTCTGATATATAGTATCGAGATAAATTTAAACCCATAAAAAGAGACGTTTGATCAACTTACAGGTTTCATAGTAATTTAAAACCAAAATCAATTTGCTATGAGAGTAGTTCCTTAAACCCATTTTATTAATCTCATTTTTTTTATGTGGACAATTTTTTAAAAAAAATATAACGACGTATGGTTCAACTATTTTACAAAATTCACAATTTCGCCATCACTCATATGATGGCAAAATTTTAATGCATGACACATAAAGACTTGAAAATCGATTAATTGATCAAGCATCAATTTGGGTATAAAATGATAAGATTTTATTATCTAAAAGACTAACATTCATATTAGCTGATTGGTGGCGTAATTATTGATGAATCATAGACTAAGACGAGAGCTTACTTGAATAGATGATCACGCAATTGGTACTAACCTATCATATTATGTAAGCAAAGCCAACAAATATTGCAACATCATGAAAGTCTCTTGATGTTGATGTTACGGTCTAGTAGAGCTTCTAAGAGATGAAAAAACTTTAAACCTTGTAAACTCCACCGTACTTCCTAATTTTCACGTTTCTCTTTTCACATTGTATTTTTGTTTATGCACATCTTTGAACATTTAATGCTTTCAAATATTTAATGAGATCGATGGATCAAGCAAGATCCATTTCTTTGTTCTATCTTATTATGTATTGGAAATTATTTAGAAGATTCCCTGCTCCAATTTCAAACAAAAACATACCAAGAATATAAAAAGAAACGAATGATGTACAAGTTACTACTGCTTTAGTTTTAACACAAATTCTTATATGTGGTTGGTTACACTGTATGACCTAGATCAAGTGACCAACCATTATAGGGGTTACTTCGTCAGTGTAATTGGGTCACTTTGTCAGTGTTATAAAGGTTATTCAATTAGTATTATAAGGGTTACTTAGTCTATGTTATAAGGGTTGCTTTGTTCTTTTATAAGCGGCCTCACGGTGTGATTGGCCACACACAAGACGGGCTATAGTTTTAATAGGTGTCCAATTTGATTGGCATTTATGCCAACACAAAATTTTGATCAATAAAGCGAGGCATTTACGTTTTTTTCGTTTTGCGTAGTTTTGCGTGTTTACGTATTTAATATATAACATGAGATATTTGCATTATTTTTTTCCCCAAATTTGAGCTCAATTTAGAACCTTAAGGACCAAAAGAGCCCCAAAACCTTAAACGGAACAATTTTCAACACGGAAATCGATAAAGAATACTGTTAAGTGGAGAGTGGGCTCCACTAACGGAATTTGTTAACGGCTGGATAACGACAAGGTTACCGTATAGAAACTAAATGTATTTTGGTGTTATAGTGTGGACTAATTTCTCAAAAAAGGGGGCATATCGTATAAAACGAAAAGCTAGAAGGTTATAATTTTAAAAAAATCCAGTAAATTATAAAAACTTGATATTCAGAAACTACTAACACATTGTAATGATTTTAACTCATATGGCTATAGATAAAGAATCAACATTGGTCAAAGTAATGTTGATGAGTAATGCAAATTTTTTATTGTTCACTTGAAAAGCAGAGGAAGAATCAACTTGACAAATAGTCCGGGAATCCATGAAGTAAAAACCCATTCTAGCATTTGAAAGAAATCTACTCTAATGAATTCATTAGATGTTACTCATGTTAGTATGATACTGCACTAGATAATGATGAACACAGTTATTGAGACATATCTAGAGTAAATCTACTAGCTACTATGATTATGTTTGATTCTCTTGGTCTGATAGACCAATGATAGCATTATTATTGTTAAATTGATGCACTTTAAAAAGCATAATCATTTTTTTTAATGTATGTTCTCAAACTATTAAATTTGCATAATAATACAAAATTTCAACAATATGCAAGATAGACCATCTATGTGGGATAGTTTAAAATTTATGGAATTTTATGTTTGAATATTCAATATTATTCATCAATAGAATTATTATAGTATGGTCTAGTACTCCAGTTACTCTAAACAATACTTGTACTCTAATATTGAAATAATCTTATGAGAATTGAACGAAGGCTTAGGGCCTGTTCTCATTGACTGAATTCAGCTGAACTGAACTGAGCTGAAATGAACTGAACTAAAATAAATATTTTATAAGAGAAGGAAATTAGGAGCTGAGCTAAACTGAACTGAACTGAACAGAACTGAACTGAACTGAACTGAATTTCAACATAAGAGAACAGACCCTTAAATCTTATTCTTTCTATAAAGTTCAATGGAATTTTATAATTGAAGTTATATATCATGCTTAAAACCAAATTTTACTCGTTTTACATGTGTTACAAGTAATAGTTTCTGATTAGCTAAATTAAGTAGCTAATTATGATGTGTCTCCCTAACATTTTGAAGGAAGGGACCCATACACAGGATACAACTCAACAATTATTGTTTTACTCATCGCCTTAAGAATTTTCCATATATTGTTTTATACTCTTTTCGTCCTTAAATTACATTTTTTTTTTCTAATTTTTATTCCTCATATAATAGAAAGCATTAGAAATATAGTTTAGGGACGGAAGGAGTAATAGTAAAAGGCAAATTAACACAAATGGATGAGCTTGTTGTGTTAGTGTCAAATATTAATAATAATTTCATTTCACAATCCATGAACCATTACTCCATTTGCATGAACAATTGAAAGAATAATGGGCTAGCTCAACTTAGGCTATGCTAGTCCTAGTGCCATTTTTCCAACGCCTATATTTATCTGAATACGACCTATTTGAACTTATTATCATTCTATAATTCTTGCTATTCCTATAATTACAACGGGGTTTACTTTAATTACAGTATAACAATTTCTATTATTTCGTATACACAGTATAAAATACATGCTACGTGTCAATTTCTAATTGGTTAACTTAGGGTGCATAACCAATAGGATCACTAGCTACTATAGGGCGATGCCACGTAGGCAAGAATTGCATTAACTATTGAAACAATTAGGGACCCACTAATCACGTGAAGTAGAAATGTTAATATGTGCATGGCTTTACATTAGAGGACAAGCTAAAACAATTGATGAGCTACAAATCCACTCTAATCCTCTCTCCACCAATTAACGTTCATCTCCCACGTGGGACATTTGGACCTACCTTTAAATTACCAATTTTTATGTTTTTCCGTGTAATTATATGTTGCTATTTATTCGTATTTGGAAATTGTATCTTACCAACTTTCCTTCTTTTCAAAATCTTTTGGTTTATACTTACTCTTGTTTTTATTCTTGTTTTCTACAACAAATTAATACGGAGTAATAAACATTATTATCATGGATGATGATTCCTCCGCTTCTTACATCCACATGGTTAATACTATTCCTTACCTTGATCGATCTTCCGTTCATTCGGAATTTATTAGTTATCATGTTACTAGTTTAGATCACACAGTTAGTTTGTTTTGACGTGATATCTGATCTTATTTTGAATGGAGGGAACAATTTTTTTTTTTTTTCGACGATCTTTTGATGATGAACGACTAATATAGAAGGTTGTGGATCTATGCAGGTGCAACACTTGATAGAAAAATGCATGTTATTCAAGATGACGAAAGAAGATTGCATGGAAGCCTTGTCTAAACATGCTAACATCAAACCTGTTATTACTTCAACTGGTTTGTTATTTATCTTTATTTTTTGCATGCATGGCTATTTTAGTCTTTTGGGGGGTTATTAAATATATTGTGTTAAGCTTCTTACCTATTTCTAATTTTGGTATGTTGTATATGTATATATACTTCGTATGAGAATCACTTTTGATGATAGATATTAAGAAACTGTAGGTAGTTCTTGATATATACATGAGATCTTATTACATACCTTCGTTTGTTTTAAGCAATAAGTGAACAGTTTTGACCTTCATAAATAAAACAAATAAAGGACCTTAAGCACATATTTGTCCTCGGAATAATAAGTTAAGAGGGTTTTCTGTTTTGGGAGAAGATTGTCCTAAAAATATCGCTTCCTTACAATCACAAAACCCTCCATAGGAGTAGGTTTAGTTGGTGTGTTTTTTGTTTTAGCTTTCGTTTTTGAATTTGCTTTGAAATGGTTTCTCATTTGAATTAAAAAAAAAAATTATTTATTTGAGTTTTGATTAACTCCATTTATAATCACTTAGAATTTGTTCTTTTCGATCAACTTGTTTATTATTTTGTACTCCATAAAATTATTTACAATTTTGAACATACAAGTTGATCGGTGTAGCTCATTACTTTTTTAAGAAAAATCAACTAAAATTTGTTTTGATAAATTACAATTAAAATAAGTTTTTATTTTGAAAAATTACAAATAAAATAAGTTTTTAGTATAAATTGAAATAATATTCAACCTACATTGTAAATAATTAAGTTATTATAATAACGTCAACAAATTTGTAATAATAATAATAATAATAATAATAATAATAATAATAATAATAACAATAATTGTGTCAAAAAAAAATAATAACAATAATAATAATAATAATAATAACACTTTGGTATCTAAAAGATGTTTTAATTTGGCTTTTTGCATAATTTTAATATTTTTTTAGAGCATTAACATCTTTAAATATGTCATAAATGTTTTGAATTGATATTACAATACAAGGATTAACCGATGAAACATTAAGACAAATCAAAGACGATCTCACACGAGTATAATTATTATGTGAATTTTTAAAAAAAAAAAAAAATGAATGCAACATGGACCTACTTATTCATTCTTGTCACTTTGTTGGCCTTTGATATAATGTCAAATGATCATAATTCAACTAAAAATTTAAATTGTTAATTAGAGCATCGTGATTTTTATTTGTTTTACACACTTTCAATGAGTAAATAAAAACGTCAATAAAACCATAAGGTCCATAACACATCAATACATCATCTATATAAGATTTATAACTCAAAGATTGACACTTTCCAGACTTTGTGATGACTCTGAAATTGAAAGGCCATCTATTTTATTTATTTATTTATTTTATTTTTTTTAAGAAAGAGGGAACTCATATTATATAATTAATCAAGAAACATCCATGTCCGCAACTCCGCAAGGGTGCCCCCCAAAAAAAAAAAAAAAAAAAAAAAAAAGGGTCATGTATAGATTGCCGCAATTAATAATGGAATTTTGGGTAAATATTGTATCTAGAAGCTAGATAGTCCTATTTGTTTGTTTTTAGTTTTTTGTTTTTTGTTTTGTACTATGTATGTATTTTTTTATTTTTTATTATTATTATTTTTTTATCTAGAGATCTCATTGCACAATTTGAGGAAAATTGTAGTTTCTCAATTCTCTTTCGATTGCAATATTATTTTGAATTTTAATACTCTGTATTTTACATTTTTACACAATTATCTTTGCCATAGTTTGTGATTTTATGTAACGAAAAATATACTATAGTCATATCTTGGTGAAAATTTTCAAAATATTAGTAGTTTTTTATATTTTACTAATAAATCAATATTCTCTCCATATTTAAATAAAACCGAATTTCTACAAAAAAAAAAAATGTGTCCCTTAGTTAAAGGGTCATTTTATTTTAATTTGGTTGAGCCCCTCTAATTTCACCATTTTCATTTATTTACTTTTATAAATAATACTTTTTAATTCAGCTGATAAAGTATATAACTTATTCTTGGCTTCAATCATCAGTTTAACCTTTTGTTTTTTTTTTTTTTTTACTTTCTTACTTACTATTACATTCAATTTTAATCAAATGTACTACACAATACTGTCTACTGCAACTATTTTGATCTCTTAAACATGTGAACCTCGTAGAACTAAGCCTGTAATTTTTGGATACATAATTTTAAAACATTGATGATATAATTCTTGACAATGAAAATCAAAATGTGTGTCGCAATTAAAATAGAACAAGCATTCGATTATATGAAGGAAATTTTGTACAGAATTCCCAAAAAGTTATTATTTTTTTTTTTTTGAAAAATACCTTCATTAACCTTATTTTTTTAGTTAAACTTCCAAGGTTTATCAAAACAGAAAAACATCAAACTTACAGACTAATTAATTTTCCATCTTTTAAACCCCACTTCTACTTCTATATAATTGTCATCACTTCCGTATATGCGTTCTTCTATCTCCTCCACAATGGTCATATTTCAATCTTCAAAAATCAAAGAAAAGAAGGCACAATTCTGTCCTTAGCAATCATGCAATGTTGAGGGTATTTTCTTTCATTTTTAGAGATCATAATATGACCATTGTATAAGAAGAGATTGAAGAATGTAAGGAAAGATGGGATGGCATTAAATTGAAGTAGAAGTGGGGCCTAAAGACGAAAAAATTAACTGATTTGTTAGTTTGGTACGGTGGTGCTAATTGAGCTTTAGAAGAAACCTTGGATATTTAATTGAAAAAATAGGTTAATAGAGGTATTTCTCCAAAAGTCACGACTTTTATGGTATTCAATTCCTCACAAAATCTCCTTACATGAAGTAGTAACAAATATTAGAAGTTACTTTCCCGTCAAAAATAAAAAATATTAGAAGTTACTTTACTCCATCATGTTGTGAAGTTACCATACACTACGAGATGTTCGAATTTAATACGACCCCAAAATGAGTACGTTTTAAATTATACGAAGTATATTTATAATTAGTATTCATGTTAACATTCTAAACACTTTTTTAAAAAATCTTTTTATTTTAGAGTGAGTGGCAACTCGTGAAAGTGGGGGATAGTTCAAGTGGTTAGACCTTCTCTCTCGATCCTATGAGATCTTGAGATTCATTCTTATCATCAGCATATGAACTTGCAAACCTTAAACAATTGTTTGAGCTCAATTGTATTGATATTAACAAACCTTTTTTTTTTTTTTTTTTTTTTTGTGATGCAATGATATATATTGATCAACCACGAAATTTTGATTTGAAGACAGTTAAATACAAATTATAAAAATAATCTTTGGCAAATAAAAGAAAAAAACAAAAACATGTAGGTTATTATTATTATTATTGATAGTGTTAAAAGTTAAATTAAATAAAAATATTTCAAGATCTCAACCATTAACTTAATCATCTGTTTGGTATTACTGGGGCCGAGGTTTTTTTTTCCGGTTTTTTGTTTTTAAAATTCATGTAATATGTCATATATTGAATAAAATTTTATCAAACTTATTAAAATCATGATAATATTGAAAACTGACATTTAAAAAATTGGAAACACCTTTTACTCGTTTTTTCTTTTTTTTTTTCAAAAAATTTAGAAAACTTAAAACAAAAAACATTGCCAGTTGTGTTGCTTCTTTAACATGGTATTAAGAGATAACCTGATAGTATATAAGTTTATTCTTGAGCTTCAATCAAAGATCTAAAAGTTTAAGTTGATTGGTTGAGTTTGTTGGTCTTTTGATAATTATATTAGTTTTTGTCGATATGTAGTTTTAAGGTATCAACGTTGTATAGCACATAATTGAAAATAATACTCGTACATTAAAAGCCATCAAAAATGCAAATGGGACCTAAAAAAAATAATAAAAAAAAATTATACACCCTCCTACTTGCCCACTTTTCTACCCTTGTCGCTCCTACTTATAAATTGCCACAAAATGTGACTAAAGGTGATGTTCTGTTGACCTTAATTCCACTTATTTCAGGGTTGATAAGTTCATATAAGTTCACATAAGGGTTAATAAGTTCAAATAAGATAAGTTCAAGAAAAATAAGTTCAGATAAGTTGTAATAAGGGTTAACCAGGGATACCCAAGTTTAATTTATAACTAAAATAAATTCTAATAAGGGTTAATTCAGATAAGTAAAAAACAGGTGAATAGAATGCACCCTTAACTAAAGAGTATGAGTATCATTTAAAACGGATTTGGTACTAATAATAATGTATCATACTCTATACTCGAGTAACTCGAGTACTCTACATATATAGTCATTTATTGACGTCCCTTTTTAGTTTTAAATCACAAAACATGTTTTCTACATTTTTATTTCTTGCTATTCTTCATCTGATGGCACACAATGACATGAATGCTAGATGTTCTATCCTTCACTAATTAATTACCCTCTACATCTGATACAGTATTAGTTGTCGCAACACACTAGCTTAGATTTTTAACCTTTAAATTAAAGCTCTCAAATTATTAAAGCAATTTACGTACCAACCTCACTATTAATTCCAACATGAGGAATACCAAAATAAGGTCTTGTTTAGTTCACCATATTTTTACTTATTTCAGAAAAAATAAGTTCATATGAGATCAGATTAGAAAAAATAAGATCAGATCATCGTTTTAAGTGCAGTTTTTATCGCTAAATATCATTAATTTCGTAACGAAAAAAATTATAAAATCACACATTAATAAACTACACATTATTACGAATCTAACAAGACCCCACTTGAAATTTTTTTCCATATAGATTATCGTATATTTATGGTCAAAGTTTGGTCAAATCTGACATTTATATCAGACCAGATCATATCAGATAAGTTTAGATAAGCAAAATTAAGGTGAACCAAACAAGCCCTAAAGGTGTTCTCAACGCTACAAAATGAATACTTCCTCCATCCCCAAAACTTCGACCCTTTTGGGTTGATTTCACGGTTATTGAGAAACTTAAATACAAAAAAATAAAAACATGTTGGAAAGATAAATTTACATAGGGTTTGCAAAAATAATAGAGAAATAAAGTATTAAAATAAATGAAAAAATAAAATTTTATATGGGAAAACTAATTTTGTACAAATATTGTTGTAAATTGGTGGATATTTTAATGCTAATGTGTCTATTATTTTAGGACTAAAATTAGGCCAAAATGGTCGAAGTTTTGGGGACGGTGAGAGTACAAAAAAACATGACTGCAGTTTAGCAAGCTTTATAAAAACAATGAGCTATACAAGTCACTAGAAGTCGTCTATATTTATTTAACCTCCGTTTTCCAATTAATTTTGTGTAGTGTGGAAGGAACTAGAGAAAGAAAACAAGGAATTTTTCGAGGCGTATTCTTCCAAATCGAGAAACGATCGAATGAGTGAAGCAGAGACAAGTGAAATGATACAGAAGATGATTTCCGATTCATCAAAGGATTCCAAAGACTAAAGACATTTCAATTTTAATTTGAACATATGCAACACATGCATTATTGAAACTTTGAAAGTGATAGATCTTTAATTCCTTTGATGCATTTAATTTCTAATGCCATAGTACCTTAGCTTGTTTGTGTCGTCCTTCACGTAAAGCCAAATGCATCATATATTTGAAGATCGATGGATCAAAAAACTATATTTTGTGGTCCATTTATTCTAGGTACTCTACTACTCGGTCATTATCCAATCATATTTTGCCTAATCACATTTTTCTTTTTCCTTTGTGTTCTCCCCTTGTTAATTTTTTTTTTTTTTTTTTTTTTTTTTTTTTGTCATTGGACCATATTGTATAAAGGCTAATTAACTAAGTTAATAATTGTGTATCCATTGATTTCTCATTTCCTATATATTCAAAACCGTAACATTATTAGTTCCTTAAGTTACCTTGTATTATTAATAGCCAGCAACGCGTGTGTGACTATTAAAAACACATACGACTTATGGAAAATACAAACAAGTCAATGATACCCTTGTATGAGGCAAGAATAGCAAATCTCCTATCTGCTAGTATTTGCTATTTCCTCCAATGATGATTGTTGCTTTGGTAAATCATTTTAGTGAAAAGCATTAAACTCTTATAAGGATAGAAATAATTAAGAGCATTCAAGGCAATTCAAATTTTACACACCAAATCCTTTAATGATTTAAGTATAATTTGTTAAAATACCTAATCAACCAAAAGGTTAACCTTATGATTGAGGCCAAATGATTAAGTTTTCTATACTCTTATCATATTTAATCTATTCCAAATTCAAGATGACCAACACAAATTATTCAGCTCTTTTAAAAAAATTGTATACAAATACCAAAAGAGAATGTACACCTTATTAAAATGCCCATACAATTTTACGAGGATACCCCATTTAAGTAGCACTTAACTTTTTGATATTTTTGAGAGAATAAGGGCTTGTTCTCTTACGTTGAAATTCAGTTCAGTTCAGTTCAGTTCAGCTCAGCTCAGCTCCGCTCAGTTCAGCTCAGCTCCTAATTTCCTTCTCTTATAAAATATTCAGTTCAATTCAGTTCAGTTCAGCTGAGTTCAGTCAATGAGAACAGGCCCTAAGTAGCACTTAAGTTGAAAAAGTATTCTCCTTCCTTTCCCAAAAATTGAAGCAATTTGACTTTTAATTTAAAAAATTTACTACTCCCTCCGTTCCTTTTTTACATTCTTACTCCGTATTTGTAAAATTACACGGAAATTAAGGAACTTGGAATAAAACAAAGAACAATAAAACAAAGTACTCTGTATAATGAAAATTACAAGACATCAATTGATGTCTTTAAATAAAACAAAGATAGAACAATATTTAATGTTACACATGTCATCAATCCTTTGAAAAAAAAGGACCAATAATATTTTTTGGTAGAAAAAAAAAGACCAATCATATTCATCTAAATTGATGCACATACATTCTGAAAATAAGAATGACAAAATAGAGAAATCATTAATTACAAAACAGAAAAATAGGTTTAATTTGGAATATTTGGTAAAAAAATTTACTTACTAAAAAAGAAAAGTGGGAATGTAATTTTATAATATCCAAAAGGGAAAGCATGAATGTAAAAAAGGGACGGAAGGAGCATGTACTAACTTTAACTTTACCTTTACCTTTACCTTTTTAATTTACTCATGTGTTACTAAAATTATTCACATGTACAATGTTTTTAATAAGTATAATAAATATTAAGTTTCATAATAAGTATTAACTTTTTATATCTATATTCTATACTTAGTATTTAAAAACACAAACCATCATCCTCATGATGCCACATGTAAATTATATTTTTCAACAATGCCACATGTCATCTCATTTAATCTTTCTCATATTAAAAAAATACAGTAGCTTTAATTCAATACATGAATGAATGTTTGGTTCACTTTCCCCCAACTTAATATTTTCTACAATTACATTCAATTTTCACCCCTTATTCTTCTTTATAACTATTAATTTTCCAATAAAATATACGAGTATTATAAAATTAAAAATTATATTACATACCTATAAACAATCCGTGCATTGCACAGGGCAGAAGGCTAGTTAATATTAATATAATTATTATTATGTCATTATGTGCAATTCTTTTAAAATAGGTATTTATGTGAAATTTAATATAATTTAACTGTTTTTGCCCTTTTATTTATAAGTTTGAGTGTCTCAATTAAACAGAAAGGTAATGAGTACTATTATTCTTGCAAATTTGTTTTCAGGTCCAACTAGCAATCTTTTTTGGGTTGTATGCCTAGAGTCACAATCATAATGGTATATCAGGCCAAATATTTTCAGTTTTCTTGCTAGCAATGCTTTACATACACCATATTGCAACAATATTCCATTCCATTTAATACAACAACCTTGACGCCTTATGTCACTTGTCAATATCGGTTGAATGCCTAGTTGTCAACAGGATCCGGTGGTTAAAATTTTAGAGGATGATATATTAAACCTAAATTAAACATCGTTTTCATTAAATTTGTCCTTAAATAACTTTTATTACCGCTATTATCCTATCAATATTAAAAACACCCATTATATATAACTTGATCAAATTGTATGCTTCATGGAAAGGCGTGGTAGTTTCACCACTTATACCCTTATCAAAAATGTCCTCACAATTGTAGTAGGGTAGGTAAGAGACAATACAAAGAATAAGAATAAGAATAAGATTAAGCCTCCACAAATATTAGCTGCGATAGGCTAGGCCGATTCTTTTGAGATAGGAATTTTCATCATCTCATCAACTAATGCATATTAAAGTAACTTAAACAATTTAAGAACTAATTGTTCTAAATTAATTACAAGAAGAAATCAATACAAACTAATTAACCTTTTTAGCTAGAAAGGGTATGAGTTCTTATATATTAGAAAAAATAATTACACATGTGAGTTGAAACAAAATTGATGGACTACTCCACTTATTGATCACTAATTGACTTTAAAATGGTATATATCATACATTTTGGGTTTGCCAAAACCTTTCTTCAATGTAATTTGGCACTTTGGTTGGGGCTTGGTCCATGCAATTAATTAAGGGTATATTCACATTTAATGAAATGAGCTGAATTGAACTGATTGGAGCTGAACTGAACTAAATACATCGAATTGATTAGAGCTGAAATGAATATTTTATAAGAGAAGGAAATTAGGAGCTGAACTGAATTGCACTGAACTGATTGGAGCTGAACTGAACTGATTGGAGCTGAACTGAACTAAACATGCCTTAAGAGTTATCAGATTTCAATCATCGCAAACATATTAAACATCTTTATTATTCCACAAAGTAACTATTCAAGGGAAATTATTATGTAACTATAGTGGCCTATGCGCGTGGGAGAGCTACCTCTTACAGAGAAGTTATATTGGCATGTGTTTACACCTTTGGTTTATTAGGCAATAATTTTAATACGTACTTTTAGCTTATGTACTTATGGTTGTGGCTTTGTAGAAGGGGTTGAAACTTGAAAACACACTTAAATCTTTTATGACGATTATTTTTTAAAACCTTCTAAAATTTGACAATATTATTCCAAAATTATTATCTATTAACTATTACTAAAACAAAACTTTGCTGACATTATCAACTTTAAACTATCCTACATGTCATCTATACATTAAAAACTTTCCCTCCAATTCTATGTGTGATGCCATCAATCACTAATGATTTTTTTTTTATTTTAATTTATTTATCTACATTTATAAAGTGTATATAAAATTTAATAAATTAAGTTTCTCTCCTGAATTATAGTTGCACATACCTAAGTTGTTTGATATTTGATTGTGCTTTTCAATTTTTGTTATTATTATTTTTTTTTTACTTTCCTTAAAAGTAAATTATTTTTATATCTAATTATAATTTTCATATACAACGCGTAGTAATAATGCAATTAAGCATAAATTTGAAAAAAAAGATTAATTTTAATCGTGCATTCCACCGGAATAACCTAGTTAAATAATATTTGATTGATTTGCATCCCTATATATCATATTTTTATTCCATCATATCTTAAGGGGCAATTGTTAATTCTCTTAATTAATTTGCATGTTTCAATAAAACTTAGTATGAGTATAATATTTCTTGCGCGGTTTTCTTCCAATGAATTTTTTGAGAGCTTAAGTCATACTGAGTTTTTTTTTTTTTTGGACGAGAAAGTCATACAGAGTATTAATATGTGAAATGTTGCAGCTAAAAACTTATAAATGTAAGTTCTTTAATGTTCTACAACCACCTAATACATATCTGTTAACTATTACTAAAACAGAGTTTGCTAACGTCACCACTGCCTACATGTCCCTCTCTCAGTAATAAATTTCCCGCCTAAATGCAAGATGATGTCACTTTTTTTTTTGTGTGTGTGTGTGTGTGGAACTATCATATTTAACATTTTTTAAATTTAAATATTGGAAGCTTATACATAACAACTAAAACCGCCTATTAATTTATCTTAGGAAATTGAAATAATTTTAAGTAGCACGCTAATGAATGACCTTATACATTGAAATATGTATTAGGTGATGTTGAACTGATACTATATCAAAATTTTGATGAAAATCTAAAACTTTTAAGTTACTCTGTTTTTTTTTTTACTCTGATCTAGGTTTTACACAAATTGTACACCGCACGGGTTAAATAGTATGGTAGAGGGAGGGGTACCATGTGCAGGGCTGTCAAACGGGTCGTGTCGTGTCAATTCAATATTAAAATTTTCCATTTTTTTGCCAAATTGAATTGCCAAAATTTTTTAAAAATTTATGAACGGTGCTAATGTTTTTTACAAAACTAAAAGTTTAGAATACAAAAAATTAGTTTCTTATACTACTTAATAAACAGGTTAAGCGTGTCGAGTTTGGATTAACGGGTTGTCGTTCAACCCATTAATATAATCGATTTATGCGTGTCGGTTTTGGGTTTAAAATTTTGACCCAAAACTAACCCGTTTAATTTCGTGTCGGGTTCATGTCAACCCAATTAGTTAAACGGGACGAGAATTGTTGACCCACACCCGTTTATTTTGTGTCGTGTTCGTGTCGGGTTGTTGTATCGTGTCAGCATTTAACAGCCCTAACCAGTGCATAATACACCCGAAAGTACATTACATATAAATAAAAGAACATTGGTTAACGTTCTTTTATTTATATGTAATTTCTTTTTTTTAAGAAATTTATGTCATTGTTATTTATTTATTTTTATGTAATATTCATTTCATCCATTCATTTTCTCTC